GAAGGTTTGCCCACAAAGCAAAACCAGATATTTTAAGCTTTTTAAAAATACAAACATTTTCAATGTATATTTGTATTTGAGTATTCTCATGAACTATTAGAACATGAAACATTAAACAGTTATTCTGTACAATACAAAGGTTTCATATTGCAGGGAATAACCTCTTTCATAAATTTATCAAATACCATCTTAAAACTACCAAGGTTGTAATTTCTTTATTTCTCCTAAGAACAGTTTATTCCAGATAAACAGATGAATACAACATAATGTATGTACGCTGTGTTCATCAGCCTTAGTAACACCTCATTATTAACTTTTTTGTTATTTTTATTGTTTTGTGGAGGTTTTGTTAGAGTGCTCCAGTATGCTCAGTGCAGCAGTGACATCAGTGCTCCACTGCTTTTCTAAATCAGGCTGTAACTCCTCAAAATAGTCTGTTCTATGATGATTAAATTTTAGTTTGTTTATTTTCTAAATTTAAACTCACTCTCTATATTTTTAGGCATGTTTAGGGTTAAATTTTTCTGGTGAAATAAAAGAAGAAATTATATATTTCATGACATTATACTTTTAAGTTTACATCCTTTTCTTAAGCAATAAAGGGGAAAAAAGTACTAACTGTTAACTCTTTGCTCAGGAATGCATTTTCTTTTGGAATCTTCTCAATTTTTCCTGGTCCAACATTTTTACTGATACACTATCAAGAAAAAAAATAAATACACTTATCAAATCAGATTCTTAGAAAAAAACGTACAGGATTTCTGTGGGTATAATATGTGCTTTAAATTTTATGTTACACTGTACCTGAAAAATCAGTATACTGATTTGCAATAGATCAAAGAACAGTATATTAACTTTACTGTTAGTGTTAAGGACCTTTGTTTTGGTATATATCACTTCCTCTTTAGTACTTGCAATAAAAAAACCCAAACAACCCAAAACCACAGAAAAGTGTTCCAAAGCTCTTAAATCTATGTACAACTTCCTACTGCTTAAGGACTATTTGGAGACCTATTTTATTTCCCAGCACTTTCACTTCAGGTTCTTGAAGTATTTAATTCTGTTAACAATCAGGAAGGGTTTTCAGATCAATGCCACCAATAACTCTCCACGTTACCATCTTCATTTCATCATTAGGCAAAAGTTTTTAGTTGCTCCTACAGCCCTTTAAAATACATTTAAAACCCCACTAGATTCCATAAAATCATAAAAATTGACATAGAGCATCAGATCAAATCTACATATATTCCAGCGTTCTGATTCCAATGATGCCAATTAGGGGACGTCTAAATGAAAGTAAGAGTGGGAAAAGCATATATGATACTCCTTCCAGATACTGTTCTAATCTTCAACTATTTTCAGCTCAGAGACTTCCTAAACTAGAAATAGCCGCTGTATATTTAAGTAACTCTCAAGGTGTTTCTCTCCCATGTACCTTTCCAGTCTTCCCCTGGGCTGGTACAGCTGCCCACCAAGATAGCTCTCCGCAGCGCTCTCTGCAGCACTCTCCACTGGCAACTTCCTGTCTCTACAAGAACTGTCCACTTACTCCTGCCCTCTATTTCCCATTTCTAAACAATCACATACCCATGAAAGGACCCAACCACTTTTTTTAGGGTGCCTAGCTGCTTCTCAACAGCTTTTGGTGAAGTACTTCTTTGAAAGCCTTTGGGAAATTCAAGTAGACTACATCAGCTTGTTCACTCTTATCCACATTTGCTGGTCACATTAAAGAACTTCAGGAGGTTTCCAAAGTATTTGAAAGTACTTTTTTGGAAAGTATTTCTTGGAAAAGTATTTTACAAAAGTCACACTGACTCTTCCCAAATACATCATATGTATCTGGGCGTCCTTTAATGCATATAATTTATTATAATGTCTAATAGTGTACCTGGTTATTAGCCAACGGTATTAGGCATATTGGCCTGTAATTCCCAAACCATTTCAGGAACCTCTCTTTTTACATTGGCATCCCATTTATCATGCTCCAGCCTTCAAGTGCCAGGACTGTGCTAAACAGCAGGTTGTACGCGTGAATTAGCAATTCAGAATTATTTCATCCTTGAGCTATTTCAGACCTTTTCATTGAATACTATAAGACTCTGGTGGTTTCTTAGTGTTCATTTTGTCAACTCATTCTATAATCTTTTCTACAGTTACTTTAGTTTTATACATATCCTCTAACAAGTTATCCACAAAGAGATCTGAAGCATTAAGATGCTTCCAAATTCTTACCCATGCCTTGTCTTCTCTAAGTGCTCTTTTTATACCATAATCATCAATTTGCCTTATAGATTTCCTGGCAGGCTTTTTGTTCTTTAAGTGTTTGAAAAAAGGATATTCATTTTGAGTCTTTCCTGATAGTTGATCTTCAAGTGTTTTTTCACTTATCCTGCCAGATTTCATGATCTTTTCTATTCTATTTTCTTCATCTGGACATACCCATAACTTTTTGAAGTTTGACATCTTGTTTTCTTCAACCTACAGTTTAACCGTGCTGATTTTCATTTTCTCTTTCCCAAACTTTTCTTAATAAGTAGCATGCAATGGCCTTATATGGCTAATAATGTAAGTTTCAATAGCCTCTACCCTTCTCCTCCAAGGACTTAATATTTTTAATGTCTTTTGTGTTCATTTTTATATAATGCTCTTTCCTATGGTTGACCATAGCTGCAAAAGTTATTTTGACCTTTGCTTTTTCCATAGGAATGTTGACTAACTGCATTATGGTCATTTATACTGAATGGCTCTTCAACTATTAACTTTTCAGTGAGACCTTGTATATTCATAGAATCATAGAATCATTAAGGTTGGAAAAGACCTCTAAGATCATCGAGTCCAACCATCAACCCAACACCACCATGCCCACTAAACCATGTCCCTACGTGCTGCATCTACACATCTTTTAAATACTTCCAGGGATGGTGACTCAACCACTTCCCTGGGCAGCCTGTGCCAATGTTTAACCACT